AAAACTCATGGTAGACTGCAGGGATTACTTGTTTTAATTCAGCTTCCCCCTCAGAGCACAGGAGGATTTGGGGGACCCCCGGGGCCCGAAGTGCGGCAGTATCACCCGACAGTATGGGGAGAAGGGAACGAGATTACTCCGGTCTCCCAGTCAATCTGGGGGTTATGGGCCCGTAACCATGGGAGCCCCAGAATGACTGGGAAAAGGGGTGAAGCTATAGCATCCAGGCGGAGGAGTTCCTGGTGCTGGCCGGCAATGACAGTAGTGATGGAGGGGGTTTCCTTGTTCACTACCCCGATTTTTATTCGGGAACCGTCGGCCAAATAAATATTGAACCCCTTCTGTTTAAATTGGAGAGGAATACCCTGCTGGTGAGCAAAATAATGTCCAAGAAGCAGCTGCATGCCCCCGAATCAATTATGGCCCGATACTTCCACGGTCCTTTCTGGAAGCTGAAAGGAAGGGGCACCACTAAGTATTGGGTATGGGACCAACATTGCCAATGGATAAGGAAGAAGAGGTGCACTTACTCAGTTTCTGCGGGCAGGATCGTACCATATGATCAGCTTCACCACAGTAGAGGCACAGGTTCTGGGATCGTCTGCGCTGATGTTCCTATGGAGATAGTTTAGGCCGTGCCAGGCCGAGTTGCATGGGTTCAGGGATTTCTCCAGGTGGCCGGTTCTGGATGTTTGGCCTAGGTGCTTGACTGGGACCTTGAAATGACCCCCAGGGATTTCCATGACCCTGGCCGGACCTCTCAAACCTGCGTTCCCGCAGTCTACGGTCAATTTTAATGGTCAGTGCTATTAAGTCCTCTAAAGTCTCAGGCACCTCCACCCGGGCGAGCTAATCTTTCAGGCCTTCTGATAGGCCTATACGGAACTGATGCAGGAGTGTGAACTCGTTCCAGCGTGTGTCCCCCATCCAGCGCCTAAACTCAGACGCGTACTCCTCCGCCGCTCGGCGGCCTTGCCGGAGCGTGTACAAAGTAGCTTCAGCAGAAGCTGCCTGCTGTGGGTCATCATAAAGGATGGCCATTGCGTCAAAAAAATTGTCAAACGAACTAAGGTGAGGGTCATTTTTTCCCCGTAATCGGTGGGCCCAGTCTTGGGGTTCACCCTGCAGGAGGGAGATGACGAACCCCACTTTCACGGATTCAGTCACGAAGGTCCGGGGGTTGTAACTCAAAATAGAGAAGACAGGACTCGCGGAATGATCTGAAGCGTGTGCGGTCCCCGTGAAAACGTTCCGGTATAGGGTACTCGGGGTTCGGCCGCCGGGAGTGGTGCGGATGCCCCAGAAACCAGCACAGGGGCTGCTACGGCTGGGGGTGCGGGGACGCGGGCCTGTGGGGCAGGAACGGATATAGTGCAGGTCTGGAATTGGGTTTCAATCTGCTGACATCTATCCTGCAGGGCCGATACGGCCTGTGTCAAATTAGACAGGTGCCTGCAGATCTCCTCAAGCGGCGAGGGACCTCCTCTAGACTCAGTCATGGCCTTCTGGTACTGTAAGGGACCGCCTGGCGGTACCACTAGCATTCCACTGAATAGGCGTCCCCAGCGCACGGAATCTAAGTCCCAGGGTGCTTGTTCACCAGGGCCCCTGATGGTGGGGATGAACTTGGAGCCCCCCGAGACCAGGTCGTGGCTACTGGGTGCGTCCGTCAGTGGTGGTAGTGGTATGCGCCAAGGGGCTCCCACGGGGAAGAGTCTGATGTGAGTAGGTCAGAAGACCCCACTGCAAGGGATGGATGGATGGATGAGCAAGGTCAGACGGGCCGGGTCGGTAACAGAGAGGACGGCAAGGTACAAGGCAGCGGGCATAGAATGGTCGGGTCACACGCCAGGTCAGCAACAGCAGGTCAAATCCAATCAGGGGCATTCAGGAGAGAGGTCAGGCAAAGCAAGGGTCAGAATAGGAGAAAGCAGCAAGGTCAGGTACAATCCGGGTCAAAACTTACAAGGTACAGGTTCACAGGTTCACAGGATGCAGGGAAGACCAGAAGGCACTGAATGACAGCTCAGGGCCATTTAAATATCCCGCCCTGCGCTGCCATTGGTGCCCAGCAGGCGGCCGCGGCTTCTACTGCGCATGCGCGAACTCGAACGCCGCGGCCGGCCCGGACCTAGTGCCCGTGTCCCTGCACAGGGCGGTGCACTGCGCCTGCGCCGGGACCATCGCGGCGGGGATCGAGGAGATCCCTGACATAAATACTGTATAATAATAATAATCATCCCCGCAGAATGGATCCGATCTGCGGATTGGAGAGAATAATGTATCGGAGTCCGATCCATTATGCCTGATACGCAGATTCAATCCATTCTGCAGGGATCGTTGGAGGGGGGTCACCAAGTGTTATCGCACCGGGTGACACCAACCCTAGGGACGCCCCTGGCTAATACATCCCCTTTACTAGCATAGTATACCACAGATGGGGTTTAAATACATGTCCAGCAATATACATGACTATTGCACCAGAGATAGGCTTGTCCACTCCCCATTACCACCATGACCGTTCCGTACAAACCCCCCTTTCCCCTTAACCAATTATACTTACAAAAAACATGACACCAATTTTGGAGTAAATGGCCAACATGGCATTTTATTAACACAAATTTAAATACACCAACCATTCCTTATAACAGAAACCCAAAGAATTGTTGTTGTTGGTCTTCGAAGGCACCCCCAAACAATCCGAAATGCACCTGCGGACAACCATATACACTAGGCCTCCAGCCGCAACGAACCAGCTCGGAGACAACCATACCGTCCGCAGTGCAGCACCACCACCTTCCAGTTAAACCTTGGTTAACTGGGAATGTCCCCCGGGCCCCCATACCACCGATGGGTCCCACACCATTGTTTTTACCTTCCAAGATAAGAACCGCCTCCAAAGACCAACAACCGCCCAGGAACCAACATAACCCCCCTTTACCTGGAGGGACCCAATACTCACCAAAAACAGGGAGGGCGGGAGGGAAGCTCTCACTCCTGACTTCCAGTCAACTGACGCCCCCTCACTGAAACCCCCACCCTAAGGTGCAGGAAACCCCACCTACTCTCAACCTTCCACCAACCAAATACCCCCACTATCAAAACAAACCCCTCGGATCTGCCTTAACCCTTTCTGTTCCTCCTTCCCCCCACTCTGGGCCTAGTCATGTATGCCCTGCGCCATTTCTTCTTTCTTTTTTGCTACGGGCATTTCTTTTCATTTTTTTGCATCAATCATTAACCAGTAGAGTGGATTTCCCAAGATGAACTAACACTAACTAGTATTTCATTCTATTTTTGTGACTGGAGGTAATATTTAAGTGGCAGCAATGTTACTTTCTAAGCTCTAACGTCTTTTGGGCCATAAAGAGAAGTCTTCTCAGCCTGGTGACTGTTATTTTTATCCTTGGTTGTCATTGCTGAAAATACAGGTAAGAATGGCAGTTGGACCTCATTATAGCTCAACAAACTGAGGAAAGTTTCAGGTTTGCGGCAATCAACCATCTTCTGAAAATGTTTGGCTGCCAAGCTGACCTACTGGCTTCAGTACTTTCCTGAGCAGGTCACCCCAAAAAAGCATGCAACAAGTGGTCAGCCATGGTGGCCTTCATACTTACCTGTTGGGTTCCTTTAAATCTGAAGTTTAATCTGCTTATTATTTGCCGTTCACATTTGAACAAAACATTTCATTGCATATCTTATTTTAGACCCAGTGATGTCATCACTAGCTCTCTGTGCTTCTCTATACAAGGCTGTAGATAGCATCCTGAAAACATCACAACTTACCTCAGTACTCCTCTCAAAAACCCTCAAAACCCTTTACTTTTACATGAAAAATGACGGCCCCCTTTAAAAACTGTGCTTTTTGAATTTTTTTTTTTTTCATTGATTCAGTACCGAGTCCCCATACCCCTTTTATGGCCAATAACTTGCATATAAACCTTCAAAAATGGGCACTTTTGAACAGGGGCAGATTGACAACTCATGGGGACCCCGGGCAATAGGGATCATGGGCCCCTGTGTCCTTGCCCAAACTCAAAAAAAGCCTATGAAAAAGGTACCAGGGGCATCTCATGGGGCCCCCTACTGACTCCTGGCCCTCGGGCAGTGCCTGAGTTTCCAAATGGTCAGTCCGTCCATGCTTTTGAATTTACAAGTTAGAGTCCCATAGGATTGCATTATGTTCGATGTTCGTGGCAGAACTTTCTTTAGGTTCAAATGTAGAATGTAGGGGCAGCACAATGGCTAAGTGGTTAGCTCTTCTGCCTGGCAGCATTAGGGTCGTTGGTTTGAATCCCAACCATGGCACCACCTGCCTGGAGTTTGCATGTTCTCCCTGTGCCTGCGTGGGTTTCCTCCCACACTCCAAAGACATGCTGGTAGGTTAATCGGCTCCTGTCTAAATTGTCCCTAGTATGTGTATGTATGAATGTGAGTTAGGGACCTTAGATTGTACACCCCTTGAGGGTTAGGGACTGATGTGAACGTACAATCTATATTTATTTCAGGTACTTATATAGCGCCGTCAATTTACGCAGCACTTTACATATATATTGTACATTCACATCAGTCCCTAACCCTCAAGGGGTGTAAAAAGTGCTACATAAATTGACAGCGTTATATAAATACCTGAAATAAATAAATAAATGTTCTCATCTGAACCAAACAGGGGGGGGTGTTCAGACCATCACTAGTATGCAAATATCAAAATGCCTTGATGGGTGGATGTACAGTAAGTCTGGAGTGGTGAGTGCAATACTGGCCTAGGGCAAGGATGCGGAACTGCACCCCTCCCCCACATCTAATGCATGTTGTAGAATGGGTGTACACCTGTCCATTAATTCTTTGTCCCCTTGCTCTGCTGTGCCCAGGGCAGCTGCCCCTCCTGCCCACCCTCTTGTCTCATCCCTGGTTGGGCGTTTCCTGACTGGCTGTATTTGAATGTGCATGCAATGCTGAGCCTCATGATTGAATGAACTGACATCTAATAAATGAATGGGGCAGGGCCAGGGGACAGCCAGGCTGGGGAGGAATGGGCTAGATCAGGGGTGTCAAACTGGCGGCCCTCCAGCTGTTGCAAAGCTACAAGTCCCATCATGCCTCTACCTTTGGGAGTCATGCTTGTAACTGTCAGTCTTGCAATGCCTCATGGGACCTGTAGTTTGGCAGCAGCTGGTGGTCCGCCAGTTTGACACCCGTGGGTTAGATGATGCTGGATGTCTTCCAGCCAGGAAATGTGGCGGAGCGCTATCTGAATTGCTGCAGCTTCTAATGCACATTGTGAGAAGCTCACAGTGTGCAGTGAAATCAGAGTAAGCCATTTCCATCCAGGAAAGGAGCAGGTACACCTGTGCAAGACTGAAGGGAAGCCTGGAGGTCAGCTTTAAAGCTGAAAGCAATTACAGCAGAGCTCCACCCAAAAGAGGAAGTTCTGCTTTAAGGCTGGCCATAGACGGGCCGTTTATCGGGCAAATTCTGCTGATAAACGAAAATTCGGTTGGCCGATGCTGCCACCATTGTCCACAAAAAATGGCCGTTTTTTGTGGAAAATGGTGGCAGCATCGGCCGGCAGGTACCCGCATTTGACAGGTACCCGCTCCCACTTCCACTGGGTGTCAAACTGGCGGCCCTCCATCTGTTGCCAAACTACAAGTCCCATGAGGCATTGCAAGATTGACAGTTACAAGCATGACTCCCAAAGGCAGAGGCATGATGGGACTTGTAGTTTCGCAACAGCTGGAGGGCCACCAGTTTGACACCCCTGGCATAGCCGATCGGAAGCAGAAGTTGTCCTCCCCCTTCCCTCCCCGTTGTCTTCTGGGACAAGTGACAGGTCCCAGAAGACAATGGGGCCATTCACAAAGCGCAGCGCTTCTCGCACATGTGCAGTGGACACTCGGCTGTGAAGCCGCAAGCTGTCACAGCCGGGTGCCCACACTAAAGATGTCGGCACCGGGGAGAGAAGACGGACGGTGAAACCAGTGGTGGTGAGGACACTGTTGGACCGAGAGACAAGTGTCCACTGACACCTTATGGCATCCGGTCCGATCCCGTACGTCAAAAAGAGACGGATAGGAATTGTTCCCTGTCCATCTGGTGGATCAGATCGGATGGCAGTGGATGGAAACAAATAGGCAGTCCGTTTCCATCAAACTGCCCCATAGAAGACAGCGAGCAGTGTCTGTGTCTGCTCTGCAGTAGCGGAGCGGACACAGACCTGTCATCCACCTGCTCAGCAAGGATCAGCCGAGAGATCCCCCCGCTGAGCAGGCAGATCCATTGACGGGTCCACCCCGTCTGAAAGGGGCCTAAGTTCTTTCATTGTGTTTGTTAATGTCACATACATGGCTAGATCGCATTTCAATGTATTTGGTGTGATTGTAGTTAGATGTTTGTAAGAAATGTGTTTATTGTATGCATTTGTGAGAGACGTGTCTACAAGCATATTGTAATTTCCGTTTATGTGATTGTATTGCACTTTTACAGAACTATTTGCAGAAGTGAATTCAGTTTTGGAATGAATCACAACCCTACTTCTGTCAGTTTTGTTAGCTAGCTGTTGACTCACCGTTAGTAGGACAGCATAGTTGGTGTCACCTGGTGCGGTAAAACATGGTGTCACACCCGCAAAATCCTCTCTTCCCCTCCCAGAGCAAATCCCCCCCCCCCCAAATTCCCATTCCGAGCACAAATCCTCCTCCACCCTAGGGATTTAGCCCAGATTAGCCAGGATTTAGTGTAATTCTCTGGCTGGTCCTGCTGAATCTAGGATAGTTAGGGGGTATGCTAGTTCTACCTCCCCCATCTAAACCCACCCCCCGTCCTAACTATTTACCCCTTCCTTCCCTATTCTGTCTAACCTACCCTGCATCATAACTATCTAAGCACACACCCCACCCCTAAATATATACACCTTGCTGACCCACCATGCATTCCCACTCCTGTTTCCATCATCTAACCTTCTAAATACCCAACCCAAACAACATAGCCACATACCACTAACTCCACCTCCACATGCTAAGCACCCTACACCTCTTTTAGCCCCCCCCAGTCACCCCAGCAAGGGCAGTCCAGATTTGCTCTCTGTGGGATTGATTGGAGGAGGTGGGAGACCTTGCTGACCTATATATTATTAATATAAATTAACCTATAAGGGTTGGAGTGGAATTGGCCAGATAGGGGTTTCAGACATCACTAGACTGTTATAGAGAGGGGGAATCTCAGTGGAAGGGGGAGGTTGTTTCCCCTGAACAGGGATAGGGGTTGTGATGTCCCTGATCTCCAAAGTGACGTCAGCTAGTTCTGGAGTCTTCTCTTCTTTGGCCAGGGCTGGTGTTTCCACTAGGTAAACTAGTCTGCCGCCTAAGGCGCACTGCCACTTTGGGGTACCTGGGTGCCGCACAGGCTGGCACTCTCTCTGTGTGGACACCACCATATCATGAACGCTCCTTTAGCTGAGGGGAGGGGCGGCAGTGGGGAAGAAGAAAGGAAAGAGGAAGATGCCAGGTTTTCCAGTGTTTCTCTTGGACTCAGTCCCTTACTGCAAGCTGGCTGGTGGCTGCTGAACACTGTGGAGTTCCAGCCCTTCTCTTTCCATTCATCAGCAGAGGCAGGGCTGCACCTACGGAGGAAGGTAATGTCTGATGTCTTGTGTGAGTGTGACCCGGCCGACCATCCATCACATGTGCAATGTGTCAGTGAGTGATGACATCATGATGATCCCAAAGCCTGCTCTTCTACTGCCTGTTGGACCTGCTGATCTGTGTCATTGTTGGTGGTGGTGTGTTGTGTCGGATCTGTCACTGTGTGGGATCGCTCAGTTCTGGTGTCCTCTCTGTGTGGGGGCTCGGCTGCCTGCTGTCACAGCATTTTACCTCCCCCCACTGCCTGGGGAATTCCAGCCTGGGATCTGTCAGAGTGGATCCATCATCCTCCACTCACTGCAACTGTCACCCTGCCACTGCCAGCCACAGATACAGTCCATCCGGACACTGATCTTGTCTTTAATATTGGTGCTGGTGGCGTCTTATGGCACTTATTTTTGCAAATTAAAAGAAATTTAGCCATTTCATGTTTTGTTGATTTAATATTTTCTACTGTTTGAAATTTTTTTATTTATTTATTTTTTTGGGGAGGGGGGGAGGGGGGGGGGCAAATAGCTGGTCTTGCCTAGGGTGCAAAATAGTCTAGCACCGACCCTGCCTTCAGTTAATTTCTCTATTACAACCAGCGCCGGACTCCGTTCACTCCCACCCAACCTTCAACGGGACTCGGCCCAGCCCAACAACATCTGCTTATGATCACCTAGGCAATCACAACAGAAGTGGGAAGATTCGGGTACCCGTTCCCCAAAAGGTGCCAATCCTTAATGGGGAGCGGGGGGGACAATGCATTAAAGTGGAACTTCCCCTTTTGGGTGGAACTCTGCTTTAACCACTTGTCGACCAGCGACGTTCGGTGGTCGGCTTTCTAGTAAAAGCAATTCTAGCAGCTAATTAGCCGCTGGATTGCTTTTATAATCAGTGGGAGGGGACATCCACTCCCATTGCCTTCTGTGGCTCTCCTGGGGTCTTCCGCCCCGCCGGCTGACCATAGAATTGATCAGAGAATGGAATGGCAACGAGCATTTCATCCCTTCCAGTTTCACAGTTGTAAACAAACCCTTAGTGTTTTGTAAAAAGCGTCGGATCATACCGATCTTGGTAAGATACCCCAGATCTCACCATAAAGAGTAGCTGTCACTGCCTATTGCTATCACAGGGGATATATATATATATATATATATATATATATATATTCCCTGTGATAAAAAATAAAAGTGCTAAAAAAATTAAAGGGACAGTGTAAAAAAATGAAATAAATAATTTAAACATTTTTAAAGTGCTCACATGCAAAGGTGAACGCATGCATGAGCGCAAACAGCGATTGCAACACATATGTGAAGTATTACCATGAACGTCAGATCGAGGGCAGCAATTTTAGCACCAGACTTCCCATGTAAATCTAAAGTGGTAACCTGTTAAGGCTTTTAAAGCATCGCCTATGAATAAAAAATGTACGCAGTTTGTCACTGTTGCAGGGACGTGCGCAATTTTAAAGCATGACATGGTTGGTATCTATTTACTCGGCGTAATATCATCTTTTATATTTTAACTAACTATTGGGTATTATAGTATGTTTTTGTGCATTAAAATGTGAAAAATTGGTTTCATTTTTACAAATAACAATTATGTTTAAAAAAAACGCTGTTCAAATACCATGTGACATAAAAACTTGTAACACCCACCATTTTATTCTCCAGGGACCCTGCATTAACCACTTCAAGTCCGGACACTTTTAACCCCTTCCTGTCCAATTTTCAGCTTTCAGCGCTGTCACACTTTGAATGACAATTGCGCGGTCATGCAACACTATACCCATATGAATTTTTTTGCATTTTTTTTTGAGACCAATAAAACTTTATTTTGGTGGTATTTATTCACCACTGGGATTTTTTTTTTTTGCTATATTAATGAAAAAGTCAAACATTTTTGAAAAAAATGTTTTTTGCAATTAAATAATCTTTCTTCATAAAATGTATTCAGTTATCTTTTTAGTAAAAAAAAATAACCCAAATTAGTTTATAACCAAAAATTATAATTTTTCAAAAAAGTTTTTTACATTTTTTTTTTTTATATTATTATTTATGTTTTTTTTTTTAACATACTGTCACCCTAGCAGTACAGTGACACCATAGTGACACTGTACTACTTGTGGGGGGTGATTAAGATTTTTTTTTTCTTTACACTGATTGCTTTTACACCCATAAAGGCTGTAAAAGCAAACATTTCTCCTTCTCTCTGGCATCATTCTTGCAGCCATTGAGAAATACTGTGTGAGCTGTGATTGGTCACAGCTTGTCACATGGTACAAGGCTGTTGTGAATAGTGTTCTATCATGTAATCTCTGTGATCATTCACAGATTTCATTAGTAGTAAGCAATGATGTCAGAAGTGACATCTTGCTTAAACCTATTCATGTGATCACTGATTGACCAATCAGTGATCACATGATCGGGACCACACACAGAGGTCCCGTACAGCGATCGGTGTTCTGGATCGCGGTGAGTGAGCTCCCAGGGAGCGCACAATCCAAAATGGCGGGCACCGTTTATGTACGGCAACCCGCCCCTGCACTGCCACCGTCTGGCCCTTTATA